TAGTATATCGCCCAAGTCATGTTTGTTGACTTTTGTTTTATAAAATATATTGTGGGATATAACAAGTAATTTTCAAGATTGTCCTCATAATATTATATTATATTATATTAAATTAAATTAAATAATATTATATTACATTAAATTCAAAATTTATATTAAATTATATTAAATTAAATTAAATTAAATTCAATAATATTTATATTAAATTAAATTAAATAATTATATTACATTAAATTAAATTAAATTAAATAATATTATATTATATTAAATTAAATTCAAAATTTTATATTAAATTATATTATATTAAATTAAATTCAATAATATTATATTATATTAAATTCAAAATTTGTATTAAATTATATTATATTAAATTAAATTAAATTAAATAATATTATATTATATTAAATTAAATTCAATAATATTTATATTAAATTAAATTCAATATTTTATATTAAATTATATTATATTAAATTAAATTCAATAATATTATATTATATTAAATTCAAAATTTGTATTAAATTAAATTAAATAATATTATATTATATTATATTATATTATATTCAATAATTATATTATATTAAATTCTAAAAATATATATTAAATTATATTAAGAAGGGTAAATTGGACTTTTTACATCATATCCCAACCAAGGGGATATGATATAATGGGGGGTATTGTATATCCTCTACTTTTGGGGGATATACAATCCCACCGATATTATATTCCCTTCAAAAAAAAATTACAAACATGGGATATATGGGCCCCACCGGATATAATATCCAATCCCAATCTTCATATCCCCCAATCAAACAGGGCCTAAGATCACAAGTTCATCTATTTTAATTTTCATTTTCATTTTAATTTTTTAGTCACATGTGAGATGAGTATAAAAAGTATCCTGCTTCATCAATCCCCAATCTTTTTTATTTTTTTTATGTCGTTATGATTTACCTTTTAATCATGATGAATGGATAAAACAGTTTCCCATTCATCCCTGAGGCATAGTCATAGTGCTTCTTTGCATTTATATTCTTGGAATTGTAGTGCTTCTTGGTATGTGATAAAATCTTCTTGTTAGTGCTTCTTCAAGTTTTAAGTATTGTTTATAAGTATTGGGTACAAATTCTTCAATTTGTGTTTATTTTGGTGAATCTGATTGCAGTTTATGTTCTGATGCAGGCATGTAGACCAGTGATGACTATAACTTCTATGCTAAAACATGATTTTTGAATATATGTTAGTTTGTGGTTAATGTTAAAACATGATTTTTTGAATTTGGAAATGTTATTTTGTGGGTAATGGTGATTGGATATTAATTGAATGAGAGACTGAATTAATTCTTCATTTGTTATTTGAATGGAGTTATTATTTTATATGTTAGTTTTATTATAGGTATTTGAATGAGAGTTAATATTTTATATGTTAGTTTTATTACAGGCATTTTTTAAATTCAATCAAATAAAATTAGCACAATTTCAAAAAAAAAAAAGAAAAGGGAAAGGGATATGACGGCGTTTCTACAAACGCCTCCTAAACCCTAAATACCAACGGTCATATTTTTTAAAACAGATACCACGGCGTTTCCAAAACGTCGCGAAATATTGTTGGTGACGTGACATTTAGCGGTGTTTTTTAAAATGCCGACTATACTAATATTACGACGTTTTTAAAACGTCACAAAGCTACAGCGATGGTCACATCTTTGACGCTTAGTACAAACGCCACAAAAATAATTAGCGGCGTTTTTGATAGATTTAGCGGCGTTTTTTAAACGCTACTAAAAGTCTAATTTCCAGCATTGAAAGCTGATTTGCTGTTATTTTTTTTTAGAATTCTGAATTAACTCTCATAAAATATTAATAAAAAATTTGATAACAATTTTTGGATGCCAAACATTTTTCTTTTCCTAATAAGAAACAACCATTAGTGTTGGTGCGGAGGGGCTACAACAAATCATCTTCTGTTTAATACCACCTGCATCCAAACTGTGCATCACGCTACACGAGGTGTCCTCTCATTACTTATCGAGGCCCAACAACTTTCTTTTTTGGGTAAAATAATTAAAAAATCAAAAAATTTAACAATATATAATTTCCAATATAACTGAAAAAATCATTTTAAAATATATTTAATGTGTTTGGTTTTAATTTTCTAAATTTATTTTTTTTAAAATTAAGTTTTTTTTATTTTTTGTTTTTAGTAAATATTTTTAAAATTTAAAATTTTTTTTTTAATTTCTTAGATACAACTTACTTAGATGTATTTAAATATTAAAATATTTGTCAAAAAATATTTTAAAAAATTAATAAATACACAAAAATATAAAAAAAATGTACTGATTTTTGTATTTTTTTTTTATATTTTGGTATTTACTGAATTTTTTAAAGATTTTTTTTATAAATATTATACTTTTTAAGTGTATTTATGTTAGGTGTGTCTAAAAATTTTAAAAATTCCTTAAAATATTTTAAAATTTTTTATAAAAATAAAAAAATACAGAAAATAAAAAGTAAATTTTTTTGAAAAGTGAATTATGTAAACTGAAACCAAACAGTGTGATTACTATTTTTTAACTTATTAAAAAAAATTAAAAGATGATTAAAAAAAATTAATTTTCAAATGAGACTTATAAAAATATAAAAATAAAAAAGGTTCAAGGTAATAATGTGACAATATTATTCTTGTAAATAGAAAACATCTTTATGAATATTTTGTTTTAAAATAAATAAAACATGTTAAAGGGTTCATTAGAGAATGACTTTTTTCGTTTGATTTTTTGACTTTTTTTTTACTAATTTAGCCTAGTTAAATTAGCTCTGTTTGAGAAAATTTTCGACTTTTTTACTTTTTTGTAAGTAAAAGGTAAAATGAATATGATTTAGATTTGATATTTTATCTTATTAATTTATTTAGTTTATTTTACCCTTTTGTATGTTTTTTGTCCTAACTTACTTCTAACCATATTGTCAAATGGCAGCTAGATCACATCAATATGTACAAATTTTATGTTTATATACCACTACTCTAGGGGTATATTTGATTAACAGAATTAGAGTATGAGATTGAAATTATTAATTCGCAGACTCAATAATTTTGTGTTTGTTTTGAAATTTTATTTCAGGATTATTAATCCAATGGATAATTAATCCAACAAATTTGTACGATTATTAGTAATGGAGTAGGGATGAGATTATATATCCTGAGTTGGGAAATAAAATAAAAGGACTCTTTTATCTTCATATGTTTTCTTATCTAATACAAATCAAACAATCGACAAAGAGATAATTTATCCTATTAATCCAATTAGATAGTGAATACCACATTAATTTAACGGAATTATTAATACTTTCACTATTAGTCTTGTGAATCAAACATGATCTAAAATCTCTCTACATATCAAAACCTAAACTAATCCCACCTTATCTCTCGCTCTCTCTTTCTCTCTTTGTCTCTCTCTCTCTCACTCTCACACTCCAAACTCTCTTTCTTTCTCTCTTTACAATGACAAAAACCTTTAACAACTAAGAGATGAGAAAATAGACGATTTATTTTTAAAAATATAGCTCATGTCTGTTTTTTGAACATTAAAATAATAAAATCATGTTGGATTAATTTAATTTTTTAAATAAATAATGTACACCATAGAATAAAAAATAAACAGAATCCCATGGGCATGATTGGACTGTTCGATAATCCAATTCCTTAATTTTTTGTTTTTGTTTTTGTTTTTAATTTTGTGTTTCTTCAAATTTAGATGATGGTTTTTATTTTCCATTAAAGCTATTTGCACATAATCTACGTAAAAAAACATACCAAGAAAGGTAATGTGGGGTTGAGATTCAACTATTGTATAGTAAAACTCAAATCTTAAATGAATCTAGATCATAAATTAAATATTTTAGGTATTTTTTATACGTGAATTTCGTTCTCACACTCAAAACAGTTGTTCTACTTGCACAAAAATCAATCATACAATTAGACACAACTGTCTCACATGGGTGAGGGACCTACCTCATGTAAGAGGAGATGCTCAATTCTATAATTGATTTATGTATTTCTAGACTTTTTTTTCACTTAATTTTTTTTTTATATTCTGCAATTGTTCATCTTAGCAAGCTTTGAAACTCCCAGTACCACGATGACATGGGCACTCTCCTTACTACTAAACCATAACCAAGCCCTAAAGCTTGTCCAAGAAGAACTTGACACTCATGTTAGAAGACAAAGGTGGGTAGAAGAATCAAACATCAATAACTTGCCAAATCTATGAGCCATTGTTAAGGAAACCTTACGACTTTACCCTCCCGGTCCCTTATCAGTACCACGTGAGGCCTTGTCAAATTGTCATGTGGCTGGCTACCATGTCCCTAAAGGCACATGTCTTATAGTGAACTTATGGAAGCTGCATAGAGACCCAAAGATTTGGGCTAACCCTAACGACTTCCAACCGAAGAGGTTTCTCTCTGAGAATGTGAAAATGGATGTAAAAGGACAATGTTTCAAGTACTTGCCTTATAGCGCAGGCAGAAGAATGTGTCTAGGAGTTACGGTAAGTTTGCAGATGATGCATTTGGTGCTTGGCCGCATGCTTCAGGGTTTTGATTTGGCTACGCCAATGCACGCAAGGGTGGACATGGCTGAAGGGTTAGGGTTGGCCTTACCTAAGTCAACCCCATTGGAAGTCATGTTCATTCCACACCTACCTCGCAAGCTCTACCGAGAGTGAACAAAGAACAAGAAAATTAAACATTATGGCCTCCTCCACAATTACGAATAAAAATTAAGTGTAACAATGATATGACACTATCATAGATATGTGATATTGAACAAACTTATTATAATAATTTTGTGTTTTGCATGCCTTTGGTGATTTTTGTAAAAAATGCATTTCTTATTATTAATGTTGATAGTACATACAAGCTGTATTTATAGAAGATAAACTAGTGCTGATCTAAGCAGATAACTAACTCCTAACAGTGTAACTAACTCCTAACAATTAGCTAACCAATTCCTAACTGACTATATGGAACTGCAGTTGAAGCTCTGTTCTTGAATGTTGAAGTAGCCATATCAGAAGCTGAAGCTGTGGTTGTTGCTTCTGCACTAGAATCCTTATCACCCTCGGGCAAGCTGATGGGAGAGGGAGAGACCAAAAGCTTGGCTTGAAGGTAGTGAAATCGTGAAACTAAGAGAGGCTTTGTGAAGATATCAGCAATCTGATCAAGAGAAGGAATGTATTTGAGAAGCAGTTGTTTGGTAGCAATCTTTTCACGAATGAAGTGACAATCCACTTCAATGTGTTTAGACCGAGTGTGAAACACGGGATTGGAAGCCAAGGCAATAGCAGACAGGTTGTCACACCAAAGGATAGGAGGAATAGGAGAGTGAAGTTGAAGTTCACGAAGTAACATGGTTAACCAAGTAAACTCAGCTGTGGTGTGAGCGAGAGAGCGATATTCAGCTTCGGTTAAGGATCTTGAGACAGTTGGTTGCTTTTTAGCAGACCAAGAAATAAGGTTGGACCCAAGATACACACAGTAGCCTGAAGAACTGCGATGATCGAGAGCATCACCAGCCCAGTTCGAGTCGGAGAAGGCTTGAAGTTCAAAAGAATATAGGACTGAAAGTGAGCCCATGAGCTAAAGTCCCTTTGACAAATCTTAACAGTCGCTTGACAGCAGCAAAATGAGCATTAGTGGGAGCATGCATGTGTTGACAAGCTTGGTTAACATAGAAAGATAAGTCAGGCCGGGTGATCGTAAGGTACTGAAGTGCACCAACAACACTGCGATAAAGCTCTGGTTGATTAAATGGAAGAGCAGAATCTGGACCAAGAGAAGGTTTAACTGACATAGGGGAATTGAAGGGCTTGCAAGTGGTCATACCAGCTTTAATGAGGATATCAAAAGCATATTTGTGTTGAGATAAGAAATAGGTATTACCATAAGCTTGTATAGATATACCCAAGAAATAGGAAATATCCCCAAGCTCCTTCATGGCAAAGGCAGTATGCATTTGAGCAACAAGTGATTGAATATGAGAAGAACTATTTCCAGTAACCAAAATGTCATCAACATATACAAGAAAAAGAGTAACAGTTGAAGAAGTCCTTTGAATGAATAAGGAATTGTCACACTAACTATTAAGAAAACCTTGCGATAGTAAAAAGCTGGAGAAAGTAGAATACCAGGCGCGAGGAGCCTGCTTTAAACCATAGAGAGCCTTTTTTAAAAGACAAACATGAGTGGGATGAGATGGACTAGTGAAGACTGAAGGCTGTGTCATGTAAACTTCCTCTTCCAATATACCATGGAGAAAGGCATTACTAATGTCAAGTTGTTTAAGAGGTCAGTGATAATGCAGAGCCACACACAATAAAATGCGAATAGTAGGTTGTTTGGCAACGGGGCTAAAAGTTTCAGTATAATCAATCCCTTCTTGTTGGAGAAACCCTTTTGCAACCAAACGAGCTTTATAACGAGCAATAGAACCATCAGAATTGCGCTTAATACGGAATACCCATTTGCAGCCAATAGTAGACTTAGAAGTAGGCAAAGCAACCAAAGACCAAGTACCTTGAGCAAGAAGAGCATTGTATTCATCTAACATGGCAGTGTGCCAAACAGGGGAGGTGAGAGCTTGCTGATAGGTAGATGGATCAATGTCAGAAAAGGAGGAAGAAGAAGCCATGAAGACTTGAGGATGCGCTTTAGAGCGAGTAATCATAGAATGAGAATTAGTAGAAAGAGGAGGTAGAGGTAAATCAATAAAAATAGAAGAAATAGGAGTAGAAGTGGGAGTAAAAGAAGAAAGAGGACCTGATGGTAGAGAAGAAGAAACATACTGAGGAGGTAGTGCAGACTGGACAGATTGAGGGAATGCAGAGGACTGCAGAGGTGCAGACTGGATAGACTGGACAGATTGAGGAAATGCAGAGGACTGCAGAGGTGCAGACTGGACAGATTTAGGAAAGGCAGTGGACTGTAGAGGCACAGTGGGCTGCACGGGCACTGGAGCTGCTGAAGAAGGTATAGAGGAAGAAGATGAAGGAGATATGGGAGCTGGTGGCAGTGAACTAACAAAAACAGAGGGATGATTCATAGGTGGAGAAAGAGAAGGAGAAGGAGACCAGAAAAAAGATTGAAGCATAGACAAGGTCTGAGAAGTAGGAGGAGAAATACTAGCAAAAGGAAAAATATTTTCATGGAAGATGACATGACGAGACAGATAAACCTTACCAGAGGAAGGATCAAGACACCTATATCCTTTGTAAGAAGGATGATAACCAAGAAAAACACACAAAGTAGATTTAGGTTGAAGTTTATGAGAAGTGTGTGGCTTAAGCCAAGGAAAACATTGACATCCAAACACACGCAGAAAAGAGTAATCAGGTGCTTTGTGAAACAATAATTCATAAGGAGAAGAATGAGGAGCCTTAGACTTAGGCATGCGATTAATCAGATAAGTGGCTGCAGAAATGACATCAAACTAATATTTAATAGGAATAGAAGAATGGTGAAGCAGTGTAATGGCAGTCTCAGTGATGTGTCTATGTTTTCTCTCAGAGACTCCATTTTGAGGAGGTGTATAGGGATAAGAAATTTGATGAAGAATACCATGAGAATTAAAAAATTTAGTCATAGAGGAATTAACAAACTCAGTACCCCCATTCGTACGAAAGATTTGCAAGTGAGTGGAAAATTGAGTACCAACATATGCGGTGAATTCTACAAATTTATCAAATACTTCACTTTTGTAACACAACGGATAAAGCCAAGTAAATTTGCTATATTCATCAACAAAGAGTACATAGTATTTATAACCAGAAAGAGAAAGGGAAAAAGGTCCCCACACATCACTGTGAATGAGAGAAAATGGTTTTTGAACAGTAGAGTTAGACAATTTAAAAGGTAATCTATGACTCTTTGCTACACAACAATGAACACAAATAAAATCATCATCCTTGGTTTTATTACAAGTGGAAGAAAGAAAGTGTTTGAGCTTATTAAACTTGAGAGATGATGGATGCCCCAATCTCTTGTGCCAAACAATGGCAGACACTTTATTAGTAGTTGAACTGCAGAATGCATTATGAGATTGAAATGAAGAAGGTGGAATAGCAACAGAAAAAGGCTTGGGCTTGGATGTATGAAAGTGATACAAACCATGTGAATTAAGGCCCTTGTGTAGGATGTCCTTGGTGTACTTGTCCTGAACAATGAAGGAAGAATCATCAAAAGTGATTGTATAATTATTATCTTTAGTAAGTTTGTGCACAGACACAAGATTGGAAGCAATAGGAGTGTGCAAGATTTTGTTGAGTTTAAAAATATGATGTGGAGTAGGTAAAAGACCCTTACCAGTATTAAGAATAGGGATAGAATTACCATTACCAACAATGATGTGATCAATGCCTTGGTATGGTTGATGAAGACTCAACTAAGACAAATCATGAGTCATATGATCAGATGCAGCAGAATCAAGATACCAATGAGAGGAATCATACTGAGGTGGAGAGGAAGCAGAGGCCACAAAAGCTCTGGTGTTTGAAAAACCAGAGGATGATTGTGCTGAAGATGGCCTTGACAGATTTGGAAATTGCTGTGACTGATTTTGCTGTGATTGATTTTGAACAGAATAATTTTCATTCAATCGATGCCAACACTCCAGAGCTGAGTGATTAGGTTTTCCACATATCTGACAAATTAAATTGTGATGTTGACTGCTGGATGAGTGTCGACCTCTGCCTCTAGATGAAAAATGTCTAGTGCAGAAGCAACAGCCATAGCTTCAGCTTCAGCAGCAGCTTCTGATATGGCTACTTCAGTATTCAAGAACAGTGCTTCAACTGCAGTTCCATATGGTCAGTTAGGAATTGGTTAGCTAATTGTTAGGAGTTAGTTACACTGTTAGGAGTTAGTTATCTGCTTCTAGATGAAAAATGTCCTCGGGAGCCATGTCGAGAACCACCTCGGTGACCTTTGAAATAAGATCGGCCTTGAGAAGAAAAATCATGAGAAGAACCACGCGAAGCAGCATATGCAACTGAAGGTTCATGAGTATTAATGTTCTTGATCTTGGAATGCATGTGAATAGATTCCGAGCATAGAAGAGATGAAAGTTCTTCCATAGAGATGGCTTCGGATCTGGTTTGGATTGTGGTTTTAAAAGCATCAAATTCTTCAGGTAAACCATTCAGTGTAAGAAGAACAAGATCTTCTGCATCTATAGGAGAAGAGGCAAGAGCAAGTTAATCAGCTAACTCTTTAATCTGACTCAGATACTCTTTAATTGACTGAGAAGTCTTGGTCAGATTAGTCAATTGATTTTTCAGTTGATGAATGTGACTGCGAGACAATGTAGTAAATCGTTTTGGCAGAACTTGCCAACCCTCTGCAATATGTTGAAGATGTAAAACAGAAGAGAAAATTACAGGTGTGAGTGTAGCTGTTAGACAACTCAATAGATGTGCATCAATTTGTTTCCACTGCAGAAATTCTAGATTAACTGCTGTGGTTCTATCTGCATTTGTAATTGTTGCTGGTGGAGAAGAATGAGAACCATCAACAAACCCTAGCAAATCTGTAGCACGCAGTATATTGAGAAATTGACTTCTCCAAATGATGAAATTTGAAGAATCCAGTTTTACAGTTATGAAAGAACTGAGATTTGAAAGGAGAAGACTAAGATTTGAAGGAAGAGCATTGGAGGTAGGAGTTGCCATTGAAGAAGATTGAAGAACTTTGAAGAATGATCGAGAAAATTTGAAGATTCTTGGAAGAATTGAGAAAATGAAATCAAGAACCCAAGAATGCTCGTAAAAGCTTTATTGCTCTGATACCATGTGGAAAATGCATTTCTTATTATTAATGTTGATAGTACATACAAGCTGTATTTATAGAAGATAAACTACAGCTGATCTAAGCAGATAACTAACTCCTAACAGTGTAACTAACTCCTAACAATTAGCTAACCAATTCCTAACTGACTATATGGAACTGCAGTTGAAGCTCTGTTCTTGAATGTTGAAGTAGCCATATCAGAAGCTGCTGCTGAAGCTGAAGCTGTGGCTGTTGCTTCTGCACTAGAATCCTTATCAATTTTGCACATATATGCTTGTTTTGTACAAAATTGGTATCTTTAAGAAGATATGCCCAAATGGCTTATTTTCACATATGTTGTAGGCTCCATATGTGTGCAATCATATATCAATTTCTGGCAATGTCTTCCCCAAGTAGAAACCCAATGCCTACTTTATAAATGGAAGAAACCAGTCAAGCACATAGCTTGCTTATTTGCAATTAGGACTCACATTTTATATGCATGATTGCATTAGTTAAATTTTTTTGGCCCATGTGCATAAAAATGTTGCATACTAGCTGAAGCACCTCTTTCATTTTCTTCTTCTTTTTCATATTCTCTTTCTTCTTCTGTGCGGACATATCCAAGTTACTATTTTTGGATTATTATTCATAAACCTAAAAAATGTACTTTTCAATCCCAAACCCTATCCAATCATGCCCAAATCAACTCCAAACCCTTTCCTACCAATTGGCCTTCAATTTAACCATTATAATGCTAAATCATTCACTGCTTTGGCCAAGGGGTCTTGTCCTATCTAGAAGTTACAAGGATTTTCCCCCCTTTTGGGTGTGTGTGTTCATGCACATGCACTTGTTGCATTTGCCCTTCAACAATAAACTTTTTACTTAGTTATTATGACCAAGGAACAACACCACCATTCTCATATCACATGGCCTTGAACCTAGTAGTTGCAAGTTTATAACTTTGTTGTGTTTCATTTGGTGTCTATTTTTGTTATAAACCATTGGAGAAATTTTTTTTTTGGGTAATTTTTTCTATAAAACTTATTTCTGATTACTACATGTGCTTATTTTGGTCACAGAAATTTCTTTCAAATGCTATTGTATAGATATACATTGTGACTTAAAAAATTCATTCTTGTAGCATTCTTTCAGCAGAATTTATTCCTACATCTATACATGGTGTTGGCAATATGATGCAGTAATATTGTCAAAAATAAAAGCAAGGGCAAGCCTACCCAAAAATGGTGAAGATAATGAAGTAAGCATGATATGTGTTCTCTTTTCTTGTTGAACATCTACATGGTACTGCTGTGATATCCTCAAACTATTTCTTTTCCCTTATGCCCCACGACTTAGCAATATATAAGTTATGGCCACCAATTTTTGTTTCAGCTTGTGTGGCTTGTTTTCTCTTTGATATCCGTTGGCTTCATATTTTGGGGCTTAAATTGTTTAGTT